CGGCCTGTCCGCCTCTGCTGGCCAGGACATTCATCTCAAAGGCAGGAAGGTCCCGGGTGGACGGTGCCGTGGCAGTCTCTGCTTACAGGACAACTCGCGACCACGGCCAGCTACAGCGAGGAACCCCGAGTCCAGAGCTACCCCCCCTTTCTGGGGAGAAGGGCCGGAGGGAGTAGGTGAGGTGTCTAGGAGGGCCCAGGGGGAGGGGACGGTCCCCGCCCTGCACGCGGCCAAGCCCGGCCATTGCCTAAGGTCCCACTGCTTCATCAGGGACCCTGAGCACAGTCAGTGCCCAGCGCCCAGCATGGCCCAAAAACAAGGAAAAGGGGGGGGGGGGGGGTGACCAAGCAACCATGGCATCTTTGTTCTCTAAGTTGATTATTTTAAAAGTCAAGGAAAAGCTTTTCTAGTCTGTTCTTGAAGTAGAACAAAGTCCAGGAAAACACTGTCTTGTAGGCAGATGAAAGAAAACTCTGTTTATTTTCATGTAAGTACTTTTTTTTGAGGGGGCTTTTTGAGTTGCACTCAGCAATGCTCAGGGGTTACTCCTGGCTCTGCATTCAGGAATTACTCTTGGCGGTGCTCAGGGGACCCTACAGGATGATGGATCGAAAAATACATTATTTCGGTTTTGCTTTGGGGCAGGGGTTGGGGTTTGGGATGGAAACATCTGGAATATGGTGGTGAGGAGGTGTAATGGTGGTGGGATTGATGTTTGAATATTAAGTGTTATCAAATATTGTGAACTACATTATAAAATTTTAAAGATTAAAAAAAAAAAGAAACCAGTTCAGCCACGTGCAAGGCAAACGCCTTCCCCTCTGGACTACAGCTCAAGCCGTTTAAGTACTCTTACTAATATTCAAGTTTGCCAATGCACCCCGTCTTACCCAGTGGATCACACATAAAAGTAATTCCTTTCCTAAGATCCCCTTGGCACAAACCTTCTCGAACTTTTTTTTTTTTTTGCTTTTTGGGTCACACCCGGCGATGCACAGGGGTCACTCCTGGCTCTGCACTCAGGAATTACTCCTGGCAGTGCTCAGGGGACCATATGGGATGCTGGGAATCGAACTCGGGTCGGCTGCGTGCAAGCCCTACACGCTATGCTATTACTCCAGCCCCTAGACCTAGTTTTTTTTTTTTTTTTGGCTTTTTGGGTCACACTCGGTGATGCTCAGGGTTACTCCTGGCTCATGCACTCAGGAATCACTCCTGGCGGTGCTCGGGGGACCATATGGGACGCTGGGAATCGAACCTGTGTCAGCCATGTTGGCTGCGTACAAGGCAAACGCCCTCCCCGCTGTGCTGTTGCTCCAGCCCCTTCTCGAACTTTTTTACATTCCGATTTTGTCTTCAGATTTGCCTCAGTCTAAGACTTCCAGTGTGGCACAAACACAATCAGTAGTTAGTCAAACATCTTTCGTTTCTCAGTAATTAAAAAAAAAAATGGCTTGGGGTGGGGAGGGTGGGGGTTGGGGAGGGTCCATCCCCGGCATCCCCTATGGCCCCCTGAGCACCGCCCGGAATGATTCCTGAGTGCAGAGCCAGGAGGAACCCCTGAGCATCGCCAGGAGACCCCTCACAAGACACCCCCAAAACGGTTTGGTATTTGGGCTCCTTTTGTTTCTATCTGGGTCACCTCCCCTGAGATGCTCAGTCTTGGGGGGGCCTGTGTTTGCGGGATGGAGCCCGGCCCACCGCCTTGGCCGCAGTCACTTTCCTACCCACTGAACCACAGGTCTCCAGTTTCTTCTGCCCCTTGGGCTCCTGCCATTTTTGTTAAGAAAACTTCCTCCCTGAAGTTGCCATTTCCAAGGAACGAACCGGACAGGAATTTCTGGAGACAGCAGGTAGAACATTTACAGAAAAGAATGCCAGTTTCTGGAGAACTTTGTTCTTTCCTAAGAAGGAAGGTTTACAGCCCCTCCAAGCATTTGGAGGCTAAACTGAGGTTACCATGGGAAGGCTCAGAGCAGGTGGACTTTGTCGTTCTTCTCATTGCTGTGGGGTCCCACCTGGCGTGCTGGGGCCGGGGCACAGCCAAGACCAGGGGACAGTGGACTTTCCACTGGCTTTAAGGCCTTGCCTTGTCTAGGAGAGATTGCTGGCCAGGCCAGTTGGGTAAGAACTGGGTGATAGGGGCTGGAGCGATAGCACAGCGGGGAGGGCATTTGCCTTGCACGTGGCTGACCCGGGTTCGATTCCCAGCATCCCATATGGTCCCCCAGGCACCGCCAGGAGTGATTCCTGAGTGCAGAGCCAGGAGTAACCCCTGTGCATCGCCAGGTGTGACCCAAGAAGAAAAAAAAAAAGAATTGGGTAATAGTGTTAACAAGGGAACCTAAGTTCCGGCCAGACTCACTGCAAAGGCTTCACACGCAGGAGGTCCAGCACCACCCAGAAGGACCCTCGATCCCGAGGCCCCGGACGGCCCTGGGTGTGGGTCTAAAGCAAAGAACTGGAGGGGGGGGGAGCAGATACAGCTTTGTCGGAATCTTTATTTCACTCTGGGCACATTTAGCCAAGGGGATGATAAGGCCCAAGGAATAGATCTATCTTAAGCTTTTTTACAACTCAGCCATTATATTTTAATCACAGTTATTTTGTAAATTCTTTCAAACATCTCATCTGGGCGTGCATATGCTGCCTGAGCCCATGTGCTGCTTGCGCCCACGTGGCCGAGCACATGTGGTGCCCGAGCACATGTGTCGCCCGCATCTCCCCTCTTGAGATGTGTCCTTTCATGCTTTCGTGTCTAATGCGAGGATGTGTGTAGGGGCTCTCTCCGCCCTTGGAGAATCCCGTGTTCTCTCTCGAGTACGTGACTCTCTCTCACTCTCTCTCCCTCCATACCTAAAAATCCTCCAAATAAAATCTATTTACTTCAAAAAAAAAATCTCATCTGGGTCTGGAGAGATCGTACATCAGGGCCCGAGATTAATCTGGGCACTGCCCCTGAGCACAGAGCCAGGAGTAATCCCTGAGCACAGTCGGGTATGATCCTAAAACAAAGCCCAAAAAAACCAAGCAGGGGGCTGGGGAGAATGTTTGGAGGTTGGAACAGTGTGCAGGAAGCCCAGTTTGATCCCCAACTCTGCATCGTCCTGAGAAGGACAGGAGGAGGAACCCCCCACACCAAATACCAAGTCACCGGGGGCGACTCCCTCCCCTCCTGTGAGCACCAAGCATGAGCACCGAGCGTGAGCACCACAGCCAGGACTGTGTGAGCCGGTCACAGGGGGAAAGGAGGGAAAATAACTGGCCAGCGGGGCCCAAGGGGGCTGAAGTCCAGGAGGCCTGGGCCTGGCCACCAGCTCCCCAGGGGCCCCCAGACTGCTGGGCACGGCTGGGCAGAGAAGGGAATGACTCAGGCAGGACCTGGCAGGCGACTCACGCCCCACGGCCGGAAAATGGCGCCTGTCTGGGAAAAGAGGACAGGGTCGGTCTGTGTGAGGGGCTACATTGGCTTGTGGGTGTGTCAGGGACACGGGGCTCATCGGGGGCCTATTGACACACATAAACAAGTGATCACAAGCCTTCGAGTGAGAAGCTGAGCCAGGGGACAGCTCAGGGGACAGGACGCATTAGCACTGCACGAGGACCCAGCACTGCCTGCCCCCAAACACGACCAAGTACAGCCAAGAGGGCCCCAGAGCACTGCTACGGGCCTGCTGGGCCGAGAAGTGCCGGAAGTGGACCAGGCGCCCCAGCACAGCATGGGGACCTAGCCCGCCCCCCCAAAAAGAGAGATGGAAATGACCCAAGTGGTCCCTAATACGAAGACAGAACCTGATCCACATTAATACAGAAACAATGACACACTCCAAGTGTGAAATTAACTAGATTGATGACAGATGTCTAATCCCTGGCAAAAGCACCGAGTTTGGGGCCAGTGCAGGAACAAGGCACTTGCGGGGCAGCCGCTGGCCTGGGTATGACTCCTCAGCACTGCACCTGCTTCCCTGAGCACCCCAGGAGCGGCCCCGAGCAGAGCTGCAGTGAGCCCCACCCAAAAAAAAATCCAGCATCCAGGCGACACACATACAGGGCTACCCAGTACCAGCATGAACCTAAATAAAACGGCAGGTATCAGCACAGCCCTGGAAACAGTCGCTCTGAAAGGCAAGAGTATCAGAAAAGATTTTTTTTTTTTTTTGCTTTTTGGGTCACACCCGGCGATGCTCAGGGGTTACTCCTGGCTCATGCACTCAGGAATCACTCCTGGCAGTGCTCGGGGGACCATATGGGGTGCTGGGAATCGAACCTGTGCCGGTCATGTTGGCAGCGTGCAAGGCAAACGCCCTACCCACTGTGCTATCACTCCAGCCCCAGAAAAGACTTTTTAAAAATAATCTCCAGTGCCTCCAATGCATGCTGAAAGTAAACTATAGACCGAACATGATTGCCACTCAATGCCTCTTTTGCAGATCACAACACCCAAAAGGAGAGAGAGAACAAAAGGGAATGCCCTGCCGCAGAGGCAGTGTGGGATGGGGGGGATGGGGGGTGGGAGGGATACTGGGATCCATGGTGGTGGGAAATGGGCACTGGTGGAGGGATGGGCATTCTATCATTGTGTAACTGAAACCCAAGCACAAAAACTTGTAAGTCCACAACTGTACCTCATGGTGTTTCACTCATAAAAATTCAAAAAATAAATTAAAAAATTTTAAAAATAAATAAAATGAAAATAATCTCCAGGGCCGGGTGGTAAGGACTAGAGCGGCAGCTCTGCAGGCAGAGGCCCCGGGCTCATCCTGGGACTAGCCGGGTTCAACCCTGGCCCCCACGTGGGCCCTGAGCACTCCCAGGGGAGCCCCAAGCACGGATCGGGAAGGGGACCCGAGCGCAGCTGCGTGTGCCCAAAACCAGAGGCAGAGCCTCCACTTTTTTAGAGAAACCAACGCTCTTGAAAAACAGGTGGAATCAAGAACATTCTCAGGACGGAAAAGTGAGAAGGAACTGAGAGAACAGAGCAAGGGCCAAACCACAAAATAGTCATTTTAAGTTTTAAATATTTTTTAACTTTAATTTAAAGAAACGTGGAAAATAGAACTTTTACAAATTGTCTTTGGATTCTTCAACATCATTTGCCAATTTTAGGTAATCTTAATAGAGTGACAACCAGGATACATCATGTTGGCCAATAGAAAGTTCACTTAAATCTAGCGATTTCTACTTAAGATCAGCGGCGAATTCTTCCCCAAATTCAGTGACCGATTCACTTCTACCAGGTTAAAGCAAGTCTCCTACGGGCGGACCCATCTAGCCTTTCAAATACGAAACACACCAGCAAGGAGGTGGGAAAAAAAAATAAAACACAGAACTGATACTGTAGGTCTTGCCTGAAAGGCCATCCACAGACGGATGGGTGCATTTCAGCTCAGAACTCAGAGGGGCCGCACCCCGCCGGCCAGGGCGGGAGCTCGGTGGTCAGCGCCCCCAAGGCCACTGAGGCAACAGAGGGGAGCCGCCAGGCCGGCCCCTCCCGGCCCCTCACAGCACGCTACAGCTTTGGGAAAGTTCTACTTGGCGTGAACTGAAAATGCAGGTTTTTCCGAACATCCTTGGGGCCACGGGGGTGGGTGCGGGCGCCCGGCGGGAAGGCGGGTCTGCTGGCCGCCAGGGGCCCCCGCGCCTGGCTCTGCTCAGAAGGACAGGATGGTCTTGTTGATGATCTCCACCGACTCCCGGATCTCGTCCTCCTTGATCACGAGTGGGGGCGCCAGCCGGATGATGTCGCCATGGGTGGGCTTGGCCAGGAGGCCGTTATCCCGGAGGCGCAGACACACCTTCCAGGCGTCGTAGTCTGCGGGAGCGACCAAAGCAGGCGGTCAGTGCCCGAGGGACAGCCCGCCAGCCTGAGGGAGAGCCCGCCGGCCACACACACACACACACACACACACACACACACACACACACACACACACTCACACACACACACACACACACACACACACGCCGCTCGGGAGGGCGTGGGAGCTGGTACCGACTTGGCTTACTCTGAAAGGTGAAACTCCTGGGGGTCAGGGCGATAGTACAGCGGGATGGCGCTTGCCTTGGATGCGGCTGACCTGGGTTCGATTCCCGGCATCCCATATGTCCCCCCAAGCACTGCCAGGAGTAACTCCTGAGTGCACAGGCAAGAGAAATCCCTGAGCATCGCCGGGTGTGACCCTACCCCCCCTCAAAACAAAGCAAAAAAATAAATTTTAAAAAAGTCAAGTTCCGGGGCTGGAGAGATAGCACAGTGGGTAGGGCGTTTGCCTGGCACGCAGACTACCTGGGTTCGATTCCCAGCATCCCATATGGTTCCCGGAGCACCGCCAGGAGTGACTCCTGAGTGCAGAGCCAGGAGTGACCCTTGTGCATTGCCGGGTGTGACCCAAAAAAAAAAAAAAAAAAGTCAAGTTCCTGAGACTCAGGTCAGGATGGACGACCCAGTTCTGGCTACCTGGAGAGATAATACAGCGAAGCCAGTTCAGTCCCCACATGACGTTCTGGGTACCACGAGTGCTCCCTGAGCACAGAGCCAGGAGTAAGTCCTGAGCACTGCCGGTGTGTCTCCCCACCCCACTAAGGTCCTGAGGCCCGAGAGATGGTGCCGGCAGGGGTAAGACATGCATCTCGCATGCAGAGGGCCCCAGGTCAATCCATACCCAGTCCCCCAAGCACTCGGGACCGATGGAGCACTGAGCACTGCTGGCACTGCTGGGGATGAGGGAGAGCAGATACGGGACGAGGATGGGTGTGGCCCCAAGCCAAGAAACCAAAGCCCTGCCCCTGAGCCAGCCCAGCCAATCAGAACCCGAGGAGAAGCGGGGATCGGCTTCTTTCTGTCCCTGCTCCCCGTATGATCACACACCACGCACCGGGTCCGGCCATATCAGACCGTGGCTCCGGAAGGAAGAGCCACTGTCCCCAGCGAGCCCAGACACGCAGCACGGGCACTCGGGCCTGGGGACAGCACAGGGGCAGCGCAGACGGCAGGTCCCCTGGGGGGAGGCCACCGACACGCAGCCCGGCTCACGTCCATGGTCTGCGCCAGCACTGAAGCAAGTCAGGTAAAGTAACAGGCGAAACTCCACAGCACAGTGCTCTCAGCCCTGACGGTGAGGGGCCCCGAGGACCCCCACACTCTCGTCACTGAGGCTCCCACTGCCGGGATGGCAGCAAGGAAGAGAGCGGGGGCAGAGGGCAGTGAAGCACCTCGAGAGGCACCTGGGCCCGGGAGATCACACACTGCGAGCTCACATCTCAAGCATACACCCCAAGCACACACTCCTGAGTGCACACCCCCAAGCACGCCCCTGAGCACACACTCCCGAGCACACCCCCCCAGCACACACCCCAAGCACACATCTCCGAGCACACACCCCTGAGCATACCCCCCTGAGCACACACCCCCCCCGAGCACACACTCCCAAGCACACACACCCCCAGCACACAACCCTGAGCACACATCTCCGAGCACACACCCCTGAGCATACCCCCCTGAGCACACACTCCCGAGCACACATCCCTGCACATACCCCCAAGCATACACCCCGACGACAGACCCCCCCCCCCCCACGCGCCTGAGGCGGCCGCACCTTTGGTCTCGCGGATGACGATGGCGTTGAGCAGCCCCTTCCCACGCACGGCCGTCACGATGTCCGACGGCAGCTTCATGAGCTCCTTCCGCAGGATGGCGCCCATGTTCTCCGCATTCTCCGCCAGGTTCTCTTCTTCCAGCACCTGCGCGGGCGGGTGAGAGCGCCCGTTAAGTTGCTGTCCGGGCGGGGCGCGGGGGGCGCGTGTCCGAGGGTACAGCAGCCTGGCACCGCGTGGCCCTCTGGGGCCACACGGCAGGGAGTGGCGTGGCCAGACGCCCCGGCCGCCCCGGCTCCCCGCTCCTCACACGGGCACCAGCAGACGCGAGGAAAGCCAGCAGCCACCCCCGTTCCTGCTTTCCAAGGTCTCTGCTAGTTGCTTCTTTGTTTTGTTTTGTCTCGGGGCCACGCCGGGCAGTGCTCCAGGCTGACTCCTCGCTCTGTGCTCAGGGATCACCCTCAGTGGGCTCAGGGCACCAGATGGGGTGCTGGGGACAGATCAGGGCCGGCCGCAGGCGAGGCAAACGCCCTCCCCACTGGATGATTTACTGCTCTGGCCCCCAGTTTCATTTCCAGCTCAGACAGGGTCTGGCTTTAGACATAAATCCATCATCAATATAATTTCATGGCAAAATAAGGAATAGAACAAGTTCAATGCGACCGATACATTTTCTTCTCAGTTCGTAGATCTACGGCTGAAAGACCTTAAGCCGGCATCAGAGGAGGCCTGAGACTGGACGGGCAGGAGTCAGGCCCACCCAGCCTCAACCCCGCCCGGGCATCCCTCCTGCGCTCGAGAGAACCGGGAACAGCCGGGAGCACTGCCAGGCGTGTTCTCCAGCCACAAACGGCCCTGGTGAGATGCCCGGCGTGGGGCCGGAAAGAGGGCCTGTGGAGGGGTGGTCTGGAGGCCCCGGAGGGAGCTTCCGGTCTGCGGAGCCACGGCTGCTCCTCTGGGAGAAGGCCCTGCGCCTCCGTCTCTTCTGTCCAGCACAAGGGGTGTGTGTGTCTGTGTGTCTGTATGTATGTCTGTGTGTGCATGTGTCTGTGTCTGTGTGTCTGTGTGTGCACGCACACATGTGTGTCTGTCTGTGTACGTCTGTGTCTACGTGTATGTGTCTGTGTGTGTGTGCGTGCATGCATGTGTGTGCCTGTATGTGTGTCTGTGTGTGTATGCGCGCGTGTGTGTGTATCTGTGTATGTGTGTGTGTGTCCGTGTTATGTCTGTATGTGTCTGTGTGGGTGCACGCGCACATGTGTCTGTGTCTGTGTATGTGTCTGTGTGTGTGTGCGCACGTGCATGTGTCTGTGTATGTCTATGTGTCTGTGTGTGTCTGTGTATGTATCTGTGTGTGCACTCACACGTGTGTGTGTGTCTGTGTCTGTGTGTGTGGCATGGGTGTATGCATCTGTGTATATGTGTGTGCGCACACGCACGCATGTACATGGTTTGGGGCCACAGCTGCAGTGCAAGGGGCTACTCCGACCAGCCGCTGGGGTCCCGTGCATGGGAGGGGCTATAACCCGGGCCCCCCCCACACGCTCAGCCCCCCCCCCACCACCTCCCCGCGGCCTCTCGCCCCTTTCCCACCACCCCAGCCTGGCATCCGCACAGCCGACACCACGGCAGCTCCCCGTCACCTCGAGGGAGGCGATGGCCACCCGGCAGCCGAGCGGGTTGCCGCCGTACGTGGACCCGTGCTCGCCCGGCTTGATGGTCAACATGATGTCATCGTCACACAGCACCGCAGACACCTGCGGGACAGCGAGAGCAGGACTCGGGTCACGGGAGGGCAGGTGGAGCCACAGCCGGGCCCCGGGGCGCCCGCACAGGGGACACGGCCGGGTCACCGGGGGACGGGCTGGGCACACTCGGCAGCAGCGCCTGGCACCGAGAGGACGGCCAACGTTCACGATGAGACGGCCTGGGTGCCCGGGAAACAGGAAACAGAGCCAGTGATGGCCCGGACAACAAACCCAAGGAGGGAACCACCCAAATGTGCATTTTTTCCCGTCTCTACATTAGCTGTCGTGATGGTCAAGTGTTTCACAATGCCGGGTCTCTGACCTGGGCGGAGGAAGTCGGGAGCTACAGAATTACTTAAACAAAACATCACCACGGTCAATTCAGAGGCCCGCTGAATCCTTCAGTGAGTTTTTGATTTTTTGCATTTTTTTGGTGGGGGGTCACACCCAGCGATGCACAAGGGTCACTCCTGGCTCATGCACTCCAGAATTACCCCTGGCGGTGCTCAGGGGACCATACGGGATGCTGGGGATTGAACCCAGGTCAGCCGCATGCAAGGCAAATGCCCTACCCACTGTGCTATGGCTCCGGGCCCCCCATGCTGAGTATTAAGGGGGTGATGCTCTGGATCTTGGAAAGGTGGGGAGCGTGCAGGGTCCCACGGCACACGGCAGACCCCCAGCCCACCGGAAGGCCCCCACATCAGCCTCAGCTGCACACAACTGCCCCGAGACGCCTCTCCCGAGACGAGGCAGCCACTCACAGGGTACAAGCCTCCCGAGAGCGCCTTTCCCAGGAGGACCATGTCGGGCCTGACGTTCTCATGGTCCACGGCCAGCCACCGGCCCGTCCTGGCCAGTCCCGTCTGTACCTCATCGGCAATGAACAGGACCTGCGGAAAAGCCAACGCCCCAGTGGGCGTGTTCATTTCGGGGGGGGGGGGAAGAGGCCTTTTCTGTTCTCCTGCCCCCTCCCCAGAACCGCACCGGCCTGTCCCTCAGCTCTGTGGACACATCTGGGTCTGGACATCTTCACACACGCATGCAGTGCTGTGGCCCCCAGGAGCCCGGCCCGTGCGGCTGCTCATGTTGGTGGCCAGAGGGTCGGTTTGGGGATGGGGGACGGGGACACTGCTCTGGGAACAGACCAACCCACTGTCTGTCTCACAGGTATCGACCCTTTCCTCGCCTGGAGGGGGCTGACGCTCTGGAGCAGGGGGACAGGACAGTCCGACAGGCAGGGACAGCGCAGGAGCCGGCCCCAATACAGGAACCGCCAGCAGGAACCGCCAGCGGGTCTGGGTACTCAGCAGCCCGGCCGGGACCAGCCAAGGCCCCTGCGAGCACCCACAAGCCTCAGGCTCTGCGAACACGTTTCCGTGGCCTTCGTCCTCCAGAGCGGGGGAGGGCACCCACCTGGTGCCGGGTGCAGAGCTCACGGACGCCCATCAGGTAGCCCGGGTCCGGGACGACGACGCCCGCCTCGCCCTGGATGGGCTCCACCATGAACGCGGCCACGTTGGGGTCCTGGAGGGCGCGCTGCAAAGGCAGAACAGGGGGGACTGCGGGAGGCAGGAGGCACCTCCTGCCTGCCTGCCTAGGGCCCCCTGCAAACGTTCCACCCCACCCCCGTCCTGGGGAGCATCTGACAGACACACCCCCCGGAGCCCCCAATCCCACCCAGCACACTAGGGCCCCCCATTCTAGAACTAAAAGAAACGGTCCTTTCCTTCTCCTCTCTTTTCCTAACAGTGCCAAGGATGGAGCCCGGCAGAGGGGAGGCAGGTGTTTGCCCACTATTACCACCAGGAGTATTATCCCGGGCCCAAGGCACAAGTTCCTTTCTCCTTTTCTTGAAGAAAACGGCTTTTTAAAACGTCAACTGAAGGGGCCGGAGAGTGAGCGGCTCAGAGGGCTGAGCCCAGACCTTCCACATGGGCGCGGGGCAGACCAGCACCCAAACAGGAGCAGCCAAAAATAACCCCCAACGCACACCACTGTGAGTCCTCTCAGCAGTAACAGCGGTCTGCCCCTTAGGCCTGATCTTAAAGGTGTAACTGGAAACACGGGGATTCAACAGAGCCATGCCCAAGTGAGAGCCAGGGGTGCCCGGGTCCCCAGGGCAGGGAACCATCTCCCATGAAAACCAACCCCCCAGCCCACAGTCACAGCCACTCAGCCAATCTGCGGCGAGTCCCTCCGAGCTAAGCCTGTGACACGCCGGTCGGGTACCTCGAGAGCGGGCAGGTCGTTATAGGGTATGAGCTCGAACCCTGGCATGAATGGGCCGAACCCTTCGTAACTGGATGGGTCTGTGGAGCTGGAGATGGCCGACATCGTTCTGCCCCAGAAGTTGCCGGCTGGAAAGGAGAGTGAACAGTGACGACGGGGAGAGGCTAGTGAGCGCACTGCCCAACCCCCCCCCCAACTGCCGGGCATCTCACTCGGACCCTCCCACACCTGCACCCCTCCGGGCACTGCCATGCCTCTGGGCGCTTCTGCCCCAGCACACTGACTGCGGACGGTGGCTGCTGGTTTTTCTTTCTGGGCCACTCCTGGTGATGCTCAGGGGTCACTCCTGACACAGTGCTCAGGGGTTGCTCCTGGATCGCTTCTCAGGGGTCACTCCTGAGTACTGATGGGGGACTGGGGCGGGGGGGGGGGGGTCTATGCAGGGCTGAGGAGCAAAGTCAGGCCTCCTGCATGCAATGCATGTGCCCTAGCCACTGAGCTTGTTACTCTCAGGCCCGACATACCTCTGCTTCCACAGGCCTAAACTCACACTCAAGGTGCGCAGCCCGGCTTTCAAGAGACAACACGCTGATGAAAGAATCACCAATTTGGGGGCTGGAGCGACAGCACAGCGGGGAGGGCGTTTGCCTTGCATGTGGCTGACCTGAGTTCGATCCACAGCAACCCATAGGGTCCCCCGACCACCGTCAGGAGTGATTCCTGAGTGCAGAGCCAGGAGTAACCCCTGAGCATCGCCGGGTGTGACCCCCCCCCCAAAATAAAAAGAATCAACAATTTTCCTTTCAAAAATTCTGAAACTATGGGGGTCAGCGTGATCGTACAGCGAGTCTGGCATTTGCCTTGCTCATGGCCAACCCGGGTTCGATCTCTGGAATCCCATATAGTCCCCCAAGCTCACCAGGAGGATCCCTGAGCACCACCAGGGGTGGCCCCCAAACCAAAACAAACAAATCATCTAATACTGCAGAGCACAAACGAGCCCATAGAACAACTCCGAATGTTCACGTAATTCACTATTAAAATGTCTGCCTTGAGGGCCTGGAGCGATAGCACAGCGGGGAGGGCGTTTGCCTTGCACGCGGCCGACCCAGGTTCGATCCCCAGCGTCCCACAGGGTCCCCTGAGCACGGCTGGGGGTGATTCCTGAGTGCAGAGCCAGGAGTAATCCCTGTGCATTGCCGGGTGTGACCCAAAAAGCAAAAAAACAAAAAAAAGTCTGCCTTGTGATGGGCACCTTACAAACCCCGGAACGTAACAGACCCAGAGCCGGCTGTGGCCTCCCCCAACTGGTGTTTGCGGGTGACAAACTACTCCTTAAGAGGAAATCTCTGGAAGCGCTGTGACCTTCCACTTCTTGCCCTTCTGGGGGGAACAGGGCGGGGGGAGTGGGGTGGCCCATACCTGGGAAGTTCAGGAGCAACTCCTGGCGCAGTGCTCAGGGCCACACCTGGCACTGCCCAGGGGCTGCTGCCGGTCAGTGCTCAGGGGTCACTGCCGGTGGTGCTGGCGTCAATCCCAGCCTCACCGTCACCGTGCCTGAAGGTCATTTCTTTCCTCCCCCAGGGCGGGGATCAGACAAGGCGTCTAGGAGTGAGCTACCTCCTGCGCCCACGTCAGCCAGCTCTGAGGCGCTAACCGGGTCTTTGTTCAGGAACACCTCTGACCCGCTAACGGGTCGCTTTAATAAGCTCAACTGACGCCACGTAGAAGGCTGAAAGGCTGGAATGTGACCTCTGCCGGGGGGGGGGGGGGGGGAGCGACCCCCAGCAGGGCACGGCCCAAGCACGGGTGGGGCACAGCTCCAAAGGATTCCCAAGACAAATCGATTTAGTCGAGGGTCGAACTGTCCAGCAGACGCTGCTCCAGGTGTGGCAGGCCACGGTGCTCATGTCCCCCCTGCAAGCCCGGGCCCGGGAGGAGTGTCCCTGGGAGCTGGGCCGGAGGCGGACGCGCCTCACAGAGCAGGCAAGCAACTCGGCTGTGCACACGCACGGGAGGAAAGGAAGACGCAGAACAACGGGAATGGGGAGCCCGGTGGGGGGAGAGCTTGCTCACGGGCTGGGCCACCCGGCGGGAGCCTGGCAAAGCGTCCCCGCCCCCACAGCATCACGGAGGGGGCCCCCTGAGCACTGCACCAGGAGCAGTTCCTGAGCACTGTCAACTGTGCCCCAGGCCTTCCCCCCTCTTCAACCCCCAAAAGAAAATCCGAAACAGCACGGGGCTGGAGCGAGAGCACAGCGGGGAGAGCATTTGCCTTGTACACGGCTGATCCGGGTTCGACTCCCAGCATCCCATAGGGTCCCCTGAGCACCACCAGGAGTAATTTCTGAGTGCAGAGCCAGAAGTAACCCCTGAGCATCACCAGGTGTGACCCAAAAAGAAAAAAAAAAAAAAAAGGAAGGTCCCAGAGTTCTGTTCTGCAAAGATTTTTTTTCCAGGAACAGCGACCTGCACCCCCGCGCTGACCCGGACAGGCCAGCAGCCGGACTCTGGACCCAGCAAGTCATGGGGTTTACCACGTAACTGGACCAGCTGTTACAGGGCAGAACATGTGGTTATTCTGAACTTGCAAGAAGTTCTCACTCGGCGGGGTGACACATTCATACACTTTGCTTTTCAAGATAAAACCAAAGCATTGAGAAGTCAGCACCTATCAGCACTGTTTACAATAAAAACCCGAGTGCCCGAGAACAGATGACTGGTTAAAGAAACTTCGGTACATCTACACAATGGAATACTATGCAGCTGTTAGAAAAGATGAAGTCATGAAATTTACATACAAGTGGTACTACATGGAACGTATCATGCTAAGCGAAATGAGTCAGAAAGAGAGGGACAGACATAGAAAGACTGCATTCATCTGGGGGACATAAAGGAACAAAATAGGAGACTAGCACCCAAGAATAGCTGAGATCAGTACCAGGAGGATTACTCCATAGCTTAGAGGCCAGCCGGGCATTCTAGGGGAAAGGGCAGCTCAGATAGAGAAGGGAGCACCAAATAAAGGGTGTTTGGAGGATCCTCCCAGGATGGGAGAAGCATGCTGAAAGTAGACTATAGACCGAACATGATTGCCACTCGATGCCTCTTTCGCAAACCACAGCACCCCAAAGGGGAGAGAGAACAAAAGGGAATGCCCTGCCACTGAGGCGGGGTGGGATGGGGGGATGGGGGAGGGAGGGATACTGGGATCAGTGGTGGTGGAGAACGGGCACTGGTGGAGGGATGGGCATTTAATCATTGTATAACTGAAACCCAAGCACAAAAATGTGTAAGTCTACAACTGTACCTCATGGTGTTTCACTAAAAAAAATTTAAAAAAAAAGAAGTCAGCACCTATCAATTGACATCATTATAAAAATCCCAAAGGGGTTTTTATAAAAGTCCCACAGAGATAGGACAGCGGGGTGGGGCATTTGATTGCATGTAGATGACCCAAACTTGATCCCCAGCACCCCAGATGCTCCCCTGAGCCCACCAGGAGTGACTCCTGAGCGCAGAGCCAGGGGTCAGCCCTGGGTGCAGCTGGGTGTGCCCTCACACCACCATAAAGAAACAGTTCCGGGGGCGGGAGAGATAGCACAGCGGGTAGAGTGTTTGCCTTGCACGTGGACGACCCGGGTTTGATTCCCATTATCCCATAGGGTCCCCCAAGCACCGCCAGGAGCAATTCCTGAGTGCAGAGCCAGGAGTAACCCCTGAGCATCGCTGGGTGTGACTCCAACAGCAAAAAAAAAAAAAAAAAAAAAAAGGAAAGAAAAAAGAAACAGTTCTGAAAGTCAGAGCACATCCCAGAAAAGCCCATGAGGGTCTTCCCTGTGAGAGCCTGAGCAGGCCCTCGAGGCCGCCCCCGACACCGCCAGGGCCCCCATAGTCGCTGACCACCACAGCAGGACACTGTGACGCAAACATCACTTTGAATGGTGGAAAAGCCAGGGGTTAAGGCAACCCAGATGGTTCTCCAAGCCCCTCCAGGAGTGATCCCTGAGTGCAGAGCCAGGAATAAGCCCTGAGCCGGGAGTGGTCCCCTGCCGACCCTGAGGGTTTGGTCCCTGAGCACCAAGACCAGAGTCGCCTCAAAGTGCTGCCAAGTGTGAGTTCCCCCACCCCCCCAAAAAAAATAATAATAATGAAAGGAAAAGAAGCCACCAACTGCATTTCCCATGCAGGACAGAGCCTCACTCTAACACAACTAACAAAAACCTTCCACCAGTCAACCTCTACTGACCAGAAACCTTCTATTTTTGTTTTAAATCCAATAAGCAGATGACAACTACGTCAGACTAACACTTGTTTTAGGGTGGAAAAAAGGAGTTACTCGGGACAAAAAATTCCTATGAAGAAATACTTGGAAATAAATCTGAGAGAAGGAGATCTCTCGTTAACTAATGAAACATTTGGTATTTAAACAATAGATCGTGGATGAGGCAACCTCAGGAATATTTCATCAGGGGCCAGAGGGAGAGGCCAGCAGGGCAGGGCGCTTGCCTGGCACACGGCCAACCGGGTTCCATCCCCAGCGTTCCTAATGAGTTTCGTCTCCGGCCCCCGTAATACAAAACTTCTATTGGGGACCACAGAGAGAGCACAGTGGGGAAGGGGCTTGCTGGATCCCCGGCAACCCAGATGGTTCTCCAAGCCCCTCCAGGAGTGATCCTTGAGTGCAGAGCCAGGAATAAGCCCTGAGCCGGGAGAGGACCCCGAAAAACTTATTTTCATCAGTAAAGGAGGATGGTAAATGGCACGACATGCTTAAACCACAGCACGTAACGCCAAGGCTCACGTACCTGCAAACACGATCTTGGCCTTGTACTTGGGGATGCCCTTGACGGTGTAGCCCCAGCGCCGTGCAAGCTTGCAAGCCGTCTCGCCGGCCTCCACCCCTGCCGAGGGGGAAATTGTTGTTTTAACACATGTTAAAACTCGGCGTCGTCAGAAACGCCCGTGACGGATTTCCTGCCCTTTTGCGGGCAGGAAGCGCTCACCTGTGTTCATGGGCAGGACCTTGTGGTAGTTGAAGAGCTTGGTGACATACTCCTCATACTCGCCCAGCACGTTGTTGTAGAAGGCCCTGGACGTCAGGGTCAGCTTCTCCGCCTGGCTTTTCAGGGCGCTGACGATCTTGGGGTGGCAGTGCCCCTGGTTGACGGCACTGTAGGCACTCAGGAAGTCAAAATATTTTCTCCCTTCGACATCCCAGACGTAAATGCCTGCAAGAGAGACGAGGCAGATGGATGCGGAGAATTACCGCTGTGGCCTGTGGGACCCTGATGACCCGCCGTCTCGGCACGCCCCAGCGAAGCCTCCGACAGCACGGCGGGGAGGGCGCCAGCCTTGCAAGCAGTCGCCCCGGGGTTTGACCCCCGGCTCCCCATACGGTTCCCGAAGCCTCCAGAAGTGAACCCTGAGCACAGAGCCAGGAGTAGACTGTGAGTCACACCGCCCGGTGTGACCCGAAAAATGAAAAATAAATCAGTACAGTACTAGCTCTCAATAAAATATAAACAAAGAACGCTTAGGCTTCTACATCATCGTCTGGCCTACAGCTAAATCATAGACCTTGATGTTATTTGGCGAAGTCTGTCATTTCAAAATGTGAATCAAATCGCCCCTTGGCATTTGATCATTTATGTGAGTAAGAATCCTTAATGTGTTGGGGGCCGGAGCGATAGCACAGCGGGTGAGGGCGTTTGCCTTGCACGCGGCCGACCCGGGTTCGATTCCCAGCATCCCAGAGGGTCCCCCAAGGACTGTCAGGAGTAATTCCTGACTGCAGAGCAGAGCTAGGAGTAACCCCTGAGCACTGCCGGGTGTGATCCAAAAAGCAAAAAAAAAAAAAAAAAAAAGAATCCTTAATTGGGACTGGAATGGTAGTACAGTGAGCAGGGTGTTTGCCTTGCACGCAGCTGACCCAGGTTCGATTCCCAGCATCCCATAGGGTCCCCCAAGCACTGCCAGGAGTAATTCCTGAGTGCATGAGCCAGGAGTAACTCCTGAGCATTGCCGGGTGTGACCCAAAAAAGCAAAAAAAATTAAAAGAATCCTTAATATGTTGCAGGAGGGAACTGGGGACACTGGTGGTGGGAAATGGACACTGGGGAAGGGACGGGGTTGGAACATGAAATGACTGACACCCAATCATGAACAACTCTATAACTGTGTATCTCACAGAGGTTCAATTTTAAAAATTAATTTAAAAAGGTCTTAAAAAGAATCCTTAACGTATGCTAAAAGTCTGAGCAAAAACTTTATAAGTGTACTAGGATATCTGCAGACTCAAGCATGCCCCAACACATTTATCAGGGAAATAATAAGTTCGCCACAAAGACGCCCATTGTAATTGAGGCCCATTCTACAGAATGACTGACCTCGCACTCTTCAAAAATATTCACGTCAAGGGGCAGAGAGGTAGGACAGCAAGTGGGTGCCTGCCTGGCACGCAGGGCTGGCCTGGGTTGATCCCCGGCATCCCATACAGTCCCCTGAGCACTCCCAGGAGTGATCCCTGGCACAGAGCCAGGGGTAATGCCCGAGCATCACCGGGTATAGCTCCCCCATAAAAAAAAAAAAAAGAAAGAAAGAAATTTAAGTCAAGAAGACAAAGGGGCTGGAGAGACAGTGCATGGACTCACAGGGTACCTGCCTGGACCACAGCGGCCCCAGCGAGCACAGTCTCAGAAGGAGGCCCTGAGCACGGCCAGGTGAGCCCCCAAACGAAACCAGACAAAGAAAGCCGGGGAAACTGTTCCGTATTGGAAGAAAATGAATGGAACCTAAGAACAGAATGCGCCCAGGAGCTGAGCTGTTCTGTGTCTCCAGGACAGATGCGCCGAGGGCAGAGTCAGAGAGACCCGCCCCCATCAGTCTCTGGGCGAGGGCACAGTCAGGCAGACCCGCTCCTGTCAGTCTCCCGGCTTCGATCATTGCACTCCTGTGCACGGTAGAGAGGCAGGATCTCGAGGACAGTGGGTCAGGCACCTGCCGGGCACGTGGCCAGCCCGGGTTCTAAGTCAGCACGGTATGAGTTAGCCGTGCGCGGCCGAGTGTGGCTTCCAAACCAACAAACCAAAACGGTCTGTCGTGGACAGAGCGAGACTCACAGGGCGACCGCTTGGCCCAGTGCCAGGCAGACCCCAACACTGCTGGGAGCGACCCCCACGCACAGCCCTCGGGGTGGCCCAGAGAGGATTAAAAAAGAGAAGAGCGGAATGAGAGGCCCTGCGTTGGGGCGAAGAGAGTGCAGTGCTCTGGGCTGGCTGGCGGCCCTTCACTCAGCCGACCCCACTCGAGCCCTGGGAGCACACACGGTGCCTGAAGGGAGCCCTGAGCACGGAGCCAGGAGTGAGCCCTGAGCAACGCCAGGCACGGCCCCAAAACTGAAAGAAGAAAACGAAACAATTCTTGTGCATTCATGCTACAGAAGCATCTCCTATCTGCAGCCTCCTCGCAACGGGTACAGGGAAACAAAACTGGGTACAGAGAAAACAAAACTGGGTACAAAACTGAGTTCCAGTTCACGTGACAAAATGAATTATCCAGAAACACAGGTGGAGAATGAACTACTAGCGAAACTGGAAAGTCTAAATTTAGACCCAAATCGAAGTCAGAGAGGAAGAGCGAAAGCCCCAGACGAGGTCTGTGAGGGTCCAGGCCCGAGAGCGCGTCTCCCACCCCACAGCACCTGACCCGAAGCCGCAGCCCGTCAGAGGCCGGAGCTGTCTGACCGCAGGGCCCGCCGCCCGGGGACACGGTCGGGGGGAACCCAGAGGCCACCTTTTCCTTTCTCCAGCGCCACGGGCAGAGGGTGGTAGTTGTGGGCCCCGTACTTGGCTTCCCGTTCAAAGATGTAGTCAGAGGGCGGGGGGCTTTGGTCTTTCTTCTTCGTGGCGACAGACGTGGCATTGGTCACGGAAGAGTGGATCCCACGGCGTAGCAGAGCCGCCGAGGGCAGACGTGCGAGCTTGGAGAGCATCCTGGCCTCAGAGCAGGACTCAGCACCTGTCCGAAGGGAAGGTCAAGGGTGAGAATCTTCCCGGCACTGACGTGCGCTCACTCAGGACCACGGGGAGAGACAACACAGCGCCACGCAGGGCTCGATCCCCTGCTCCGGCCCGGGACACCACTGAGCGCAGAGGCAGGAAACATGCACGCACACATAGCCCACGCCCCCCAGATTCCCTCCCCGGAAAAAGGTAAACTGAAAGTAAGTAGAAGCTGCCCCCCAATGAGGCGCATTTTGCGTTTCTAATACACACTTTTCCAAGACTGGCTGAGGGGCCAGAGGGATGGTGCAGGGTTTTAGCCGATGCTTTGCCTGCAGCTGGCCCTGGTGCTTGGTTACTCCCATCCTCACAGCCAGCAAGTAGCCCAGAGCACTGCTAGGTGGGGCCAATTTTTCAGACGGCCAGTGAACACGTCTCAACAGAACATCCTTCATGCAAGTCAGTTCCTGCATACGGAGCTGCCCGGTGAGCAGGCTCAGTGCCCCCCATGATGCACGGGCCAGAGAAGGCGGCAGGGTTGGGAAAGGTCTCTGCAAAGCGCAGCCCTCTCAGCGGCCAGGACTTCTCCCCCAAGCCTGGCCGGAACATAGATTTCTGGCGTGAGGGTCAGAGAAGCTCTTCCAAGGATCCAACAACTCGGGAAGGGGAAGGGTGCGGGGGGGCGGGGGGGAAGCCCACACACAGCACCCGCCTAAGGACATGTCCCGGAGAGTGTCCCCAGCTTTCACCAGGGATCAGCAGAAGTTACGGAACAATGATTGGAGGGGCCGAGAGAACAGCAGAGGAGGTGCTGGCCCTGCACGGGGCCAACCTAGGCTCGCCCTCCCAACCCCCCCTCATGGTCCCCTGAGCCCCGCCAGGCGCGATCCCTGAGTGCAGAGCCAGAAGCAAACCCTGAGTACCACCAGGTGTGGCCCCAAAACCTAGAGAAAAAAGAATGGTCAGAGATGGCGGCTAGAAAAATGTCAATTTGTGGGGCTGGAGCAATAGCACAGTGGGTAGGGCGTTTGCCTTGCACAAGGCCGACCCAGGTTCAATTCCCAGCATCCCATATGGTCCCCCGAGCACCACCAGGAGTGATTCCTGAGTGTGTGAACCAGGAGTAACTCCTGTGCATCGCCGGGTGTGACCCCCCAAAAAATATGTCGATTTGTATAGGAGACTGTCCCCCAAAATAGAGTCCCAGCTGAAACATCCTCCCGACTCTATTTCTTGTTTTGTCGGGGAGGGGGGAGGGGCCTGGCTGAATTGCGGGACCACAAGGTGCTGGGCACTCAGGCCAGGGTCAGCGGCAGCAAGCATTTCCCCATGGCACTGTCTTCTCCAGCTCCACACTAGTAGCCATTGCTCGAACTTTCTATGAGTTAATGTTCCAATAAACCAAGCAAAAATTAAAACATCAATTCCGTCTTGATCTGTTTGGCAAAAAAGCCAAGTGTCACAGGTAATCTACGGTAATACTTTCTGAAAGAAAGTAGTCATTTGGAAAATAAAAAACATTCCAACCGTAACAGGAGCAATAAAAGAGTTTTTAAGAAGAAAAGCATTCTAAGTGTTCTGCCCTGAGTACGGTAATTGTCCCTCATGATTCAAAAATGACCAGGGACTTGGAGAAGGTTCCTCGTGTTCTTAATGCTCCAGTTTAAGACCATCTTGTTGTCTCTGTAATAGGGCTAAAAGAATCGCATATAAACAAGTTTTGGTTTTGGTTGGGGGAGTCGCCCTGATCAGTGTTCAGGGCTGGCTCCCGGCTCTGTGGCCAGGATCACTCCTGGCAGTGCTCAGGGAACCATATGGGATATTGCGGATCGAACCCAGGTCAGCCATATGCAAGGTAAGGACCTACCCACTGTACTATCTCTCCGGCTCAAACATACATGATGTTTTCAAACACATGGGAGAATGTTTTAGGGTGATCATGTGACGCGGTCACACACACAGAAAATATTCAACTGCTGAAATACAAAGACTGGGACTGGAGCACTAGCACAGCGGGGAAAGCGTTTGCCTTGCACACGGCCGACCTGGGTTCGATTCCCAGCATCCCATATGGCCCCCCGAGCACCGCCAGGAGTGATTCCTGAGTGTATGAGCCAGGAGGAACCCCTGTGCATCGCCGGGTGTGACCCAAAGAGCAAAAAATAAAATAAAATACAAAGACTGCCCACGTGAAAGACAGTTCACTGAGACCAGGCCTGAGCGACAAGACAGATGGAGAGGTGGGTGCTGGTCGGGGGTTGACCCCAACACCCGCTGTGGCCCACAGCTCCCAGACACCAGCAAGGGCAGAGCCAGAGCAACCCTGAGCACCGCTGAATGTGGCCCAAACATACAACACACACACGCAAAAGCAAAGAGTTCACTGAGATTTTCTACTGCTTTTTACTCAAGAATTAGATCTAGACTCAAAAGAGTTGTTATTATTAGGGCCAGAGCAATGGTACAACGTGGAGGGCGTCTGTCTTACCTGCAGCCGACCCGGGATCGATTCCCGACATCACCTAGATGTCGTGTCCCCCCCCCACCTGTCCCCAGCCCTCCAGGAGCAATGACCGAGCACAAAGCCAGGAGTAAACCCTGAGCACTGCCGAGTGGGGCCCAAACTAACCCAACCAAAAAGGAATGGTCATTAAAATTAAATGAAGGGGCAGAGCCACAGAACATGGGGAGGACGCCTGCCTCGCATGCGGCCAACCCGGGCTCCATCCCCGGCATCCCACAGGGTCCCCTGAGCACCGCCAGGAGTCATTTCTGAAGGCAGAGCCAGGAGTAGCGCCCGAGCATCAGCGGGTGCGACCCCCGGAAGAAATAAAAAATGAAGGTCTGGCCTGGCTGTCACGTTAGAGAGCGTTCGGGAAGCCAGCTAGCCAAGAACGAGGGCTGTCAGGAGGCCACTGCAAGGACGGCACTGTGCTCAGGGCCGCAGCGCCCTGGGGGTCAGCACAGCCCCAGACCTGCCACCCACCCCCATTTCAGGTAAAAAACATCTCTCAGCCCCTCGGCTGCCCTAAATCTACCTTCCATGAACAAAAATGTGCCCCTCACATGCACAGAGGCTATAACTGGCCCCCGGGTCGTCCCAGCAAATAGGGGAGGACACCAGCAAGCCCCAGGACACCAGCAAGCCCTCCCGCCCTCACTCCCCCACTGACCTCAACCCAATCGGAAACTGTGGCCTCAGAAGTTACTAACTCAGGGGCCGGAGCGATAGCACAGCGGGTAGGGCGTTTGCCTTGCACGCGGCCGACCTGGGTTCGATTCCCGGCATCCCATAGGGTCCCCCGAGCACCGCCAGGAGTCATTCCTGAGTGCAGAGCCAGGAGTAACCCCTGTGCACTGCCAGGTATGACCCAAAAAGCAAAAAAGAAAAAAGAAAAAAAGAAAAAAAAGTTACTAGCTCAGCTGACTCCCAACAGAAGCAAGAAGAAACTCTGCAGTCAGGCCCAGGCAGGCCCTTAATAAGCCGCTGACCCAGATCACCACACTCACTCTCCCGGCTCCTTATTTTTCTTTTTCTTGGCTCTGGAGTCACTCCCGGCAGCGCTCAGGGCGGCTTCTGTGTGCCTGCGGTGGCAGCCGCCTTCCACACACGGGGCTTCACCCACTGCCCTCGGCATCGGGTTCCTCAGGGGCATCGGGGAGGGGAACGTTGGGGTCTACGCCATGTGCCAGGGGCCCGGAAGTGCACTTCCTTCCCTTAAATACCTCTCTGCGCTCACGTTACTGGACTTGGCATTTAGACAGAAATGCCGGCACAGAATTGAGATGAGTCTAAAAATAGCCAACGTCAGTCAATCCACTCTCCCCAACGGGGCTGGGAAGGGGGGGATGAGAGGCAGAGCCCAGCGCTCCCGATTCTGAGAGGGGGTCTCCGGAGCGCCTTCGGAGGGGCTGCAGCGAAAGCACAGTGGGGCGGGCAGTTGTCTTGCACGAGGCCGACCAGGGTTCAATCCCCGGCATCCCGTACGGTCCCCCGAGCACTGCCAGGAGTGATTCCTAAGTGCAGAGCCAGGAGGAAACCCTGAGCATTGCTGGGTGTGACCCAAAAAGCAATAAATTAAAATTAAAATTAAAAAAACAGCGCCTTCAGACCCGCCTGCCTGGTTCCTTAACAGATGTTCAGCGCGCTCAGGTCTGAGCGGAGGATTAAGATGCTAAAGGGCCAAACTGTGAGGCTGGAGATGGCACAGGAGTTAAGGCATAGCAAGCGGCTGGCGAGGTTTGACCCCTGACCCCCCCCCCAGAGGGTCCCCCCAAGCCCTCCAGAAGTGATCCCTGAGTGAAGAGCCAGGACTAAGTCCTGAGCACTGCCTATTATGGCCAAAAAACTGTTTTTAAAGACCAGGGTGGATGGGCCACCACACCGGACTGCCAGTCCCCGGAGGCTGTCCCGGCCTTCTGAGCACCCCCAGATGGACACTCCAACTAGTTTTCTTCCTCAGATTAGTTTCTGCCTGCAACCGAACAGCAAGCAGCACCAGGTTGGGTTTGGTCTGCTTGGGTTTGGTGGCCAGGACTTACTTGTGGCTCTGAGCTCAGGGATCACCCCTGGCAGTGCCTGGAGGACCCTACGGGGATCAGATAGTGGGTGTAAGGCAAGCCCCTCCCTTCTGAGCCATCTCTCAGACCCCAGAATTATCGTTTTTAATAGCATTTTTCCTTAAAAAAGAAAATCAATAAAAAAAAAAGTCAAGAGGGAGGGGCAGAGCAATAGGACAGCACGTAGAGAGCCAGCCATGCGCAATGCCAACCCGGGTTCAATCCCCGGCATCCCGTATGGTTCCCCCAGCACCACCAGGAGTAATTACTGAGCACAGAGCCAGGAGTAACCCCTGAGCATCGGAGTTCAGGCTACAACTCTGGGATAAGGCACTTGCCTTGCTCGGGTGAGGTTCCAGGGTCAATCCTGTGCACTGCAAAAATTAAAGGCAGGCTGGGGCTGGAACAGTAGCACAGCGGGTAGGGCGTTTGCCTTGCACACAGCCAACGCAGGTTTGATTCCCAGCATCCCATAGGATTCCCCGAGCACCGCCAGGAGTGATTCCTGAGTGCAGAGCCAGGAGTAACCCCTGTGCATCACCAGATGTGACCCAAAAAGCAAAAAAAAAAAAAAAAAAAAAAAAAAAATTAAAGGCAAGACCAAAGACTGAGGGCTCTTGGCACACTTGCCTTGCATGCAGGAGAGCAGGTTGGACCCCCAGCTCTGCCTCGTCCCCACACACAGATTTGGGAGTAGCCTCTGACCACCATGAGTGTATCCCAGAATGAAAGTAAAATTTAAGGGGGCTGAAGCTATAGTACAGCGGGCAGGGCATTTACCGTGCATGTGACTGACCCGGGTTCGATCTCCAGCATCCCATAGGGTCCCCTGAGCATCCCAGGAGTAAGCCCTGACCACCACCCAGTGTGCCCCCAAAATTAAATAAAGTTTTAGAAATCAAGTTTTTATAAAAAAAAAAAAAAGTTTTTCTTGAAAAATATAGAGAAAGGGGCTGGAGTGATAGCACAGCGGGTAGGGCGTTTGCCTTGCATGCGGCTGACCTGGGTTCGATTCCTAGCATCCCATAGGGTCCCCTGAACACTGCCAGGGGTGATTCCTGAGTACAGAGCCAGGAGTAACCTCTGTGCATCGCTGGGTGTGACCCAAAAAGAAAAAAAAAAGCCATAATACAAACAATAAGGGGCTGGAGCAATAGCACAGCAGGTAGAGCATTTGCCTTACAAGCGGCCAACATGGTTGACCTGAGTTCGATTCCTCCGTCCCTCTCGGAGAGCCCGGCAAGCTACCGAGAGTATCTCGCCCGCACCGCAAAGCTGCCAAGCTCCCTTTGACGTATTCGATATGCCAAACACAGTAACAATTGTCATAATGGAGATGTTTCTGGGCCTGCTCAAGAAAATCGATGAACAACGGGAGGACAGTGACAGTGACATTGACAAACAATAAAATGACCTGGAATTCTATGCTCAAAGGCACTGATCGACTTCAGTTATTTTTCTCGCCGACCTGGACCGGCTGCCACATAAGCACACCTCAGGAATGCAGGAAGGAGGTATGTCACAGGACGTGACACTGAACACCACCTGCCTCCCTTCGAGAACTCTACGAGGTTCCTGAAAGGACAGCCACCGTGCAGGAACCTCCCCCGGGCACCCCCAGAATCCCTAGTTTGCAGGAACTGTTCCAAGTATAACAGGAGCAACCTCTGAGGCACTGGGCTGGGAGTCGTCTCTTAGCACTGCTGGGTGACCTCAAAACCAACCTTAAGAAGTCTCAGGAGGAGTTGGATGAAGTTCTTCCTGGAACTGTCAAAAAAAAAAAAAAGATTTGGTTTTACTCTATTCGTCAAAGATTTACCTTCCTTGAAGTAAGCATTCACAAATACATTCCATTTTTTAAAAAAAAAATAATAAAGTTTGCCAAGTTTGGGGATTTTTGGGGTTTTTTTTTTTCCTTTTTTACATAATCTGGGTAAAATTCAACTCAAATTCCTAAGTGCGTCACTGGCAGACAGCATTACTGACAGGATTGGCTGAGGGAGGCCGCACCCCCACACACCCCAAACTTTGCTGTTGGGCCCATCCCAAGAATTCAGCACAGGGCATAAAATGAGTGCGCAACCAGGACGATAAAGGCCAACGGTGAAAGGAAACGCATACTTGGCCCAAAAAACAGCTTTTTAAGAACTGCAATTTAGGGGCTGGAGTGATAGTCCAGTGGGGAGGGCGTTTGCCTTGCACGCGGCCGACCGGGGTTCGATTCCCAGCATCCCATAGGGTCCCCCCAGCACCGCCAGGGGTGATTCCTGAGTGAAGAGCCAGGAGCAACCCCTGTGCATCGCCAGGTGTGCAGGTGTGACCCAAAAGCAAAAAGAAAAAAAAGAAAAAAAGAACTGCAATTTAAAGTTCTACTGGCTTCAGGGAACCATATGGCAGGGATCCCTGAGACTACTAGGTGTGACCCAAGCACAGAAAATAACACAATATGTTAAAAAAAAAGAAATTAAGTTATACTGGGTTCTTGGGGAGGGGGGTACTAAAATACCCTACTGGAGTTTTTCTCTTTTTCTGGAGGGAGGGAGGGACAGGGAGTATGGGGGTGTTCGGGTGCTCTGTGGCCTGGGACCCCCGGGGTTCAGCAGCGGGCGGGGTCAGAGCTCCTTGGGGGTGGGGTGGGGTGGGGTGCAGGATCCGGGTCCTGCGGGTCTCCCAAGGCCGGACCCAGGCCCCAGGGAGAGGAAGCGGCACGGTCCCCTGGAAGACGCCTATTGTTGGTCCCAGGCACGAGGCGTTCAGGTGACCACGAAAGCATCTCGCCTGGGGGGGTGGGGGGGGGACAGCCGGCCGGCGGGCAGCGCGGGGCGGGCCCGGGTTCGACCCCCGGAGCCCCGCCACGAGGGGTCCCGGGGCGCAGAGCCCGGAGCCGGCCCCAGCGCACGGCTGGGTGTGGCCCCGGCCCCAACCCCAAGCCCTGGGAGGCGGGTGGGCGCCGAGGAGGCGGCACGGGGCGACCCTATGCGCCCGGGGAAGGGCCGAGAGCAGCCGGGGCTGGGGGGATGCGCCGACCCCCGCCCCGGGGTGCTGCCCCCGCCGCCCCAAAGAAGGGGCCCCGCGCCCGCCCTCGGGAAAAGGCGGGCCGGGGGCTGCCGGGCCCCAGGAAGCGGCGCGGGCAGGGGGTCGCGGCGGCGGTCCGGGCCCCCTTCCCGGGTCCCCGGGGGTCCGCGCGCCCCGCCGCCTCCTCCCCGGGCCGGGGGCGCCGCAGGCCGGGCCCACCCGCCACGTCCACGGCCCGCAGGCGGGGCCGGCCGCACGCCCCGGCCCGGCCCCGCGCCCCCCGGCCCGCGCCCCCGGCCCCCGCCCGGCCGCCGCTGCCCCCCGCGACCCCCCCGACCGCGCCCGCGCGGGTACCTGGCGGCGGCTCCGGGGGCGGCGGGGCGGGCGGCGACGACTCGGCCGCGCCGCGTCACTCGGCTTAAGACGCGGCTTCCGCCCCGCCCCCGAGACGCCCTCGCCTCCCATTGGCTGGCGCGGGGGCCGGCCGCCAATCGCGAGGGCCCGCCTCAGCCCCGCCCCTGTCCCGCCCCATCCCCGCCCCGGCCCCGCCCCGGCCCCGCCCACACCGCAGGCTCCGCCGCCCACGGCGGGTTCCAGCCCCGCGCCCGCGCGCGGGTGTGGGGTGCGGGTCGCGGGCGCCCTCCTGCCGGGCCGGGAGGGAGACCGGTCGGCCCCTTGCTGGCGGAAAGACGAGGTCCGACTCCCTGAGACGTCGGCGGGGCCTCCCGGGGTCCGCCCGGTCCTGCATCTGCAGCCCAGGGTTCTGGTCCCCCGCCTCGCTGGGCCTGGGTGCTACCGGGGCCGCCCCTCGCGGCGGCCTCCTCCCGAGACCGTGGACGCACTTCCATGCCCCTGACCCACCTCCAGTGGTGCTAGGTCCCCCTCCATCCACGGGAAGTGCCGCCACCTGCTTGAGTGCAGCGTCCCCAAAGCCCCCGATCAAGCCCCCGCCTCCAAAAGGATGTTGGGATAAGAGCAAGTCGGAGCTAGAAGGGATGGCACGTCGTTTAGTCTACACCTCTGCCTACGTCGGTACCTGCTTGCAGATATTCACCTCCCCCACTTAATGATGCTTTGATGAACGGTTTTCCTGCATTGTGAGAGCGGGAATTGCTAGCATTTAATTCCAGTGTCCGGAAGGGAAGGGTTTGGGAGAAACTGATGCTGGGGTCCCATGCAGTGCTGGGGATCACCCCTACGCCTCCCACCTAGGCTGTAGCCCTCTGAAACTCTGTCCAGCCCTCGGTACCACTGTCCAGTGTGGATCCTTTCATAGCCCGCGACTTCCCAGCATACTAGTATGAAGCGGCCAATATGACATCCATCAGGTTAAGCACCCCCAGACGCGATGGTTACTTTGTAACCTGGGTTTTCAACCCGGGGTGTTTTCCATTTCAGATGTGCTAGTGGCCTTTATGTACCCCTCTGGCTTAACAATCTGTTTTCTCTTTGGCTTGATGGGTTTTCACGACGATTAACACTAATCACAATATCAGCATTTCTCTGCCATGTCTTTTCTGAATCACTAACACTGGCCTCCAAGTGTACGGCATGTTCTTCTCTTTAGTAATGGTTCACACTTTTTAATGGTTAAGTGCTTAATAGTTTATTATAACGTACTACCATTTGGATATAGGACCTCTATAACAATTTCATTTTGAGGAATTGTGGATATGTTATTTTTAAGTTGTTATAATTTTTTTAAAAAAAGATATGCTAGTGGATTTAACTGCACGGTGCTCTGATGAAGATCTTATTGGAAACCTTCCATGGAGCAGGTTAGCCAGGTCAGCCCCAAGGGGATCAGCCTGGCCCAACCACATGCCAGTCTCCCAGTGAGGGCAGTTGCAGGAGGCGGCAGAACCCAGACTCTGCAGGTCCAGACTGTGTTACTAGAGGCACTGGGCGGTCCACTCAGGGAGCTGTTTGCAGAGTCCAGAGAAAGGAGAGGCCATTTGCCTGCCCTGGGTGGTGACTTCTCCCCCAAGGACAGAGGACAAGGCCTCCTATTTCCTGCCAGGGTTTTCTGTGGGCTGCCCCCTCAGGGAGCCAGAGGTGGGGGGGTGGGCGACTGATCTGGAATACAGTACAGGGAAGGGTGGGTCCCAGGTGGGCAGATGGGCCCGAGGGTGAGGACAGGGAAACGGTGTGGGCCCAGAGACCACCACGAACACAGCCCAGGTCTGCAGGTACCCAGCAAGCACAGAGACTCAGTCCTCGACAGACCCCAGACCCCGGTCAGTTAGGACCCTTGGCTCTCATCCTCTCCGGAACTCTGCGTTTAGTTAGATTGCCCTTCCCGGATCCAGATACAATGTGACTCGTGTGGAGAAGTGCAGGCATCCGAGGCATCCCAGAGGAATCTTTTTCTTTAGCTCTACAAACCCCGCCAGGATCTGGAACCAAGACCAGCTCGAAAATCAATCTCAGAGCCGAGGGATCACCAGCTGTGCCTGAGGAACTAGGAGAGTGGGTGCTTCGGGGTCGGTGAAGGGGACCGTGACACCCAAGATCTGACCCACTGAGCACGTCAAAACATGTTGCAATGCTTTTGGACTCACAGATAAGATTGCCCTTTAACGAGCTTCACTCGGATTTGCACAAAACTGCTGAGAAGGCGGCTGCTTTATCTTCTCTCTTATCAGAAAAGAGGCAGTGGGTTCTAGAAGCGAGTATTTATGTTGGTTTTCAACTTAAGGTAACCTTGGAGTCAGAAGGCGGAACTGCTGCTTTTCAAACACGAAACTGGCGGAGCGCTTTGTAGGCATTCTGGTTGCATTTATTTTTGATTTTACTTATTTATTTATTTATTTTGCGTGTTGGGTCACACCCAGCGATGCCCAGGGGTTATTTCTGGCTCTGCACTCAGGAATGACTCCTGGCGGTGCTCGAGGGACCCTATGGGATGCCGGGGATCGAACCCAGGTCGGCCGCGTGCAAGGCAAACGCCCTACCCGCTGTGCTATCGCTCCGGCCCCCTCTGGTTGCATTTAGACTTGTGCCGTCTAGAAACTGTACTTAGAAGGGAAGATCGTACTTAGAAAAGAGTACCTAGAAGGTTTGGCCGCCCCTAGTGCGGCTCTGGGGTGCTCCCAGCTTTGGGGCTTTGGGGTCCTACATGCACAGGCTCAGCCCACGGAACTGTCTCTCCACCCTGGGGGGAGTTTGTGATACAGAGGCCCGAACTCAGAGCCTCACACCAGAGCTCAGCCCTGGCCGTGGCCCCTGTGAAGATTCTGAGCCTCTTAAGTTAGTCATAGATGCAAGTAATTAACTATTACAAGAACCATAAAACTGGAAGGTAGAAATAAAGACCCAGGGGCCAAGGAGATAGTCCAGAGGATCCAAGATCAGGCTTGTGCTCCAGGTTCAATCCTCATTCCCACCACGAGGGGCCTCCGGACCCTGCCAGGTGTGGCCTTGAAAAAAAAAGAAAAGAAAAAATAAAAAACAGTGCAGATAAGCTAGTCTAAAATTTCTTTTTTTCTTCCTTTTTTTTTTCTTTTTGGATCATACCCAGCGATGCTCAGGGCTTACTCCTGGTTCTGCACTCAGGAATCACTCCTGGCAGTGCTCAGGGGACCATTTGGGATGCCAGAGATTGAACCAGGTTGGCTGTGTGCAAGGCAAACGCCCTATCCACTGTATTATCGCTCCAGCCCCTAGTCCAAACTTTCTTGTTTTGTTTTGGGGCCACACCCAATGCCCAGTGGGAACAGTAACTCTGGACTTCCAGAGTAGGGTTCACTCCTGGCAGTGCTCAGGAGGACCATGTGTGATGCTGGGGATCAAACTAGGCACAGCTCCTGCCATGCAAGTGCCTTACCCCGTGTCCTCCCTCTCTGTCCCTGAGTTGCAACTTTCATGGGTGATGAGAAGCACAAGATTTCGGCCCAGATCTGTTGAACAAGAAGTGGTCCCAGAACTGCGCCTTACTAAAGAGACCCTCATGCAGGGCTAGGATGCGATCCTACAAGAGCAGTCGCTTGCCTGTGGGAGGAACTGGGTTCAATCCCTGGCATAGCATAGCTTCCTGCGCACCCCCAGGAATGTTCCCCGCACACACCCTCAGCGCTGCTGCTGGAGACCCCCTTGCTCCTACCCGCTCCTTATAGCGCGAAGCCCACAGGATCCGCCTGGAGGCGCTGGTGGGGTCAGTGAGTTCATCAGTCTATAAACAGTGGAAAGTCATTTAGGACTCAGGGCTAGAGAGCCAGCACCGTGGGGAAGGCGCTTCCTTGCATCTGGCTGCCTGGGGTTGGATCCCCTGGCACCCTTCACGGTCCCCTGAATCTCTCCAGGAGTGATCCCTGAGCACAGAGCCAGGAGTAAGCGCACCGTCGTCGGTCATGGCACCAAAACAAAGCAGGAAATGTTGGCTCAGCTTATCTGCAGCTGGGTCTTTTATCTTTCCTACCCTCTCACCACCCCCCCCCCTTTTTAAAGGTCACACTTGGCAGAACACCAGCGGGTGTGACCCAAAAACTAAATAAGAGTTGTGGGGGCTGGAGAGATAGTACAGCTGTTAAGGCGCCTGCCTTACATGCCACCCACCAGGGTTCAATCCCTGGCATTCCATGCAGTCCCCTGAGCACTGTGATTCCTGAGTGCAGAGCCAGGAGTAAACCCTCAGCAACCGGTGTGTGACCAAAAAAAAAAAAAAGTCCAGAATTGCAACAACTACAAAGGAAACAGAGGGCAGAAAGAAGAAGTCTTCATTCTTAGGACCAGGAAGCCGATTTCTGCTGACTCAGCCGTCTTGCTTTGTGTTCACCTTTGCTGCCTCACTCGTAAGGACTTGTTCCCAGTGAGGCCTCCAGGGCCTGAGTGCTTGAGAGGGTGCCCAGGCGGCCCGCCAGGGAGGAAGGCTGGTCGTGAGAGCCAGCAGATCTTCACCCCAGATTATATTCATCCCCCAAATAAGATGCCTCAGCAGCCTCTGAGCCGGCACCAACCCGTGTGGGCGCTTGGGACGGAGCCCTGTGGGAACCGGTGACGGCAGCTGGCATCGGCGAGTTCAGCCAAATGGCACGGGACCAGGAGACGACTCCCGGGCCGCATGAATTCCCACTGCAGGCCAAGATCCAGGAATTTCACAACGAAAAGATTGTTCTAGGGCCAGAGGGCAGGAAGCAGGAGTGGAGTCCAGGCTTTGCATCAGGAGCCTTGAGTATCAATCCCTGCGGCTGCAAGCTTCCCTGAGCATGCCTGGGACGCCCCCTCCAAGCTAGGAATAACCCCAAGCACCACTGGGTGTGTGCACACGCACCCCAAAAAATTTATCTTGCTATTAAAAAAATCAGAGTAAATAATTGTTTTGTTTTGTTTTGTTTTGTTTTGCTTTTTGGGTCACACCCAGCGATGCCCAGGGGTTCCTCCTGGCTCTGCAC